TATATTAATCTTTTGAGAGCACGACTTTAAACTCGAGCCAATACATTTCAGAGAGTTCAATCATGCCCAAGTAATGCCTTGGCTTGTTTGACCCCGTGCACCCAATCGGCCTAGACCAATCCATTTTTTGAAAAGCTTAGCTTACCAATTCAGAACTTAGAAAATAGGTTCACATACACTGTTATAAAAAAGATAAAATAGGATGAATTTTGATACTTCCTCCTGTTCTTAATAAACTTCACACTTTCGTTTTTGGGACGATCTAAAATAAACGTCACACTTCCTTATTTCCTTTTTTGGCAAAGAAATCTACATCAAAACAGTGCCAAACAGTGTCTCAACAATGCCAAACAGTGTCTCGACAGTGCTAAATAGTGCCTCAACAGTGTACTCTACAGTAAAGTCAAATTTCTTTCCTTATTTTGTGTGAAATCAGAGAGTGAAGTTTAATAAAAACCGGATGGAGTATTTTTTTATTAATTTGAACCACTACTACATGTCTTTACCAATGATTACCAAGTATTAATATTATTTTTATATAATAAAAAGAAGTATTACTGTAGTAGAAGATAAGACTATAAGGCTCTGTTTGCAAACACAACTAGAAAAGCACTTCCCAGCTTTTGGCTTAAAAAAGCTAAAAAAGATGTTTTCAAATGACAACTTCTACTTAAATAATTACTTAAAAGCTAAAAGCTAGAATCTGCTTTTTACTTTTTCTATTACACAAAAAGCACTTATTTTACCAAACATCACCAACTTTTACTTTTCAAAATCACTTTTTTCTCAAACACTACCAACTTTTACTATTAATCACTTTTTTACCAAATCATTTAAAAAAGTTAAAAGCACTTCTCAATAGGGTTTGCAAACAGAGCCTAAGAGGTGTACGCTAGGGTTTCTTTGCCGTAATTTAAGGATCCAATTCATGCATCTATTCACGTGTCCTAAATAATGTAATGGAACCACACATTTGGAGGAAGGTGAAGTAAGTTTCCTTTGAACCAAATTAAACAAGCTGTCATAATTAAATAACAATACATTCTTTATAATAACATTCTTCCCCCATTAATTTTATTTCTACAATTGTACGTACATAAGATCATTTCGTCCTTTTATTTTTGGAGCTATAAGGCCATCATCTAACCAATTCGGCAATTCTATTTACTTTTTGGAACATTGGGTAAAAGTTGGCCTGCACCCGACCCGTAAGTTAGACCAGATTCCTTGAATGAAGGAATACATTGGATTAAAACTCTTGCCGTGAGAAATGAATAGAGAAAATTCACCTTATGCAATTTCATTGATAGAATGTAAGCAGAATGGATTTGGAAGAATGTGTGGGAGATATAAGAGATAGGATGATTTTCTAATTTATATGGAAAAAGTGGTGTCACGGGTTTGTATGAAAAAATGAAATAAATGAGAGAGATAGAGATAAATTGTAGAGCTAGAACTATAAAACGGTTCTCAAATGGACCTTACACATACCGCATTTGAGGAGAAAAAGTACACAAGAAGTGGATTTAAAGTGATATAAAAACAAATGTTAAAATAAATAATAAAATATGTAGGCCACACACATAAAAATTGTGAGATAAAAAATGATCTGATATCAGCCACAACTAAACATCTCTCTCAAGCTAGACTCATAATAATCAAAGCTCCCCTCATGCGGCATAGAAAAGTTTAACCAAAAACAAGCATTGTTTATTGAAAACGCGAGTGCTTCAAGATAATTATCAACATTAGGAGCTTCAATACCTCTAATCATAGTAAATTCAAACTAAACATGACAAGATTGACATAAACACACAATCCAAAAAACGAGAAAAATTGTCCACCGGATTAAATGTAAAACTTGGTATATAATTACAGCAAAATATATATAGTACTCCTGTCTTACATGCATGGTTCTTTCTACTCAACATGAAATTTCCCAATGAAATAAGAGGTGTACGAGAGGGTTTATTTCCCGTAGTTTAGGGATCTAGCTAGTTCATGTATCTATACACGTGTACTAAATAATGGAATGAGTCGAAACATAGAATACATTATTAGGGAGAGGCCGGAAGTTCCCAGTGAACCAAATTAAACTAGCTAGCAACAATAATACAAAGACATTCCTTACAGTAACATTCTTCCACCATAAATTAATTTAATTCGTACAATTGTACACTATAACCTTACGTTAATTCCACTCCTTATTGCCGTTATTGTACTGTTTTAGAAATCCTTTGCCAAAGCATATATAAATCCAAATTTCGGACGGACCCCCAAACATAAAATTAGTACATTGTGAGAGCCGACAAATTGGTGGGACGGATATAAACTAATGCAATAAGCCCCCATCTGGAAATTACATATTTTTATGCATTCTTGGTTCATCTTTGGCTGGCATTTATTTTCTAATCATTTAATTAGTTATTGCAAATAGTTGCATCTTTAATGCACACAATAATTAGATAATCAAGCAAGTCAATTCATTAAGTACATTACGCTCCGATCCTATTGACAGTCTAATATGTGTTTGAAAGTTTGAAACTCGTCTCAATAAAAAATGATGTTGAAAGTTTGAAACTCGTCTCAATAAAAAATGATGTGTTTAAGAGAATAGATGCTATAATATAATATGTTAGAAAGTACCACAAAATAAAACAATACGGAGTATTACCTTTTTCCATAGTTTTAAAGATTGCTTTTTCCATTAAAAGTATTTAGACTTGGATGATTATTGTTGGAGCTTGTCACATCTACTTTTTTGTTGGAGTTTAATCGGCCCTAATACCAATCAAGACTAATGTTAATTTTTGTATTTCAAATGTGATTGTTGGATGGATTAACAAAAATGTTTTGAGCAATTTATATTGGTCTTTCTATTTATATTGGTGTTTCTAAGTCATACATGAGTACGATAAAAAAAAGGCATACGTGTTACTTTTAATATGCTCATATTACCAAATGCAGATATAAAACCATATGAATCCTAATTCTCAGCGACTCAGCACACATGATTTAATACGTACTTTGTTTCGATCTCATTGTACAAAAAATGTACCAAAAAGGAGGAATTGCCCGTCATCAGCGCCCACACCACGACGTGACAGAATAGGTGAAAGATTCAATCATGGTGATTTAGGTGGACTTAGAAAATAATGACACTAGGTCTCCCGAAACTAACCAGACAATTATCTAATAAAATGTGAGTTGGGCTTTGACTAAACTCTGATGGAAAAAGAGTAGTCGGGTTTTGTCCTTTGGGACACCCTCTTCCTATCAGGTGAGCTACGCCCCGATTGATTTAGGTGGACACACATGCTAGACCCTTCATTTGAAAGTACTTTCACACAAGTGCTGAAATACTTTGTTTCACACATTATACACATGGATTATATGTGTGTGTATCAATTTGAGGAAAAAAATTGAGCTTTCCCTTCTCTTGAACACACATACATTACCAGCTACGTACCTACTTCCTACCAATTGTACAGTTGGGGTATTAGAGTATAACACATCACTCAGCTTTTGCCCTAAAGGCTACCTAATAAAACGCATGAATTTGACGATGACTTGGCAAGCCATTAAGATTGGTTACCAACAACTACTTGTATTCATTAAATACAACAAAGGTTGGAGTAGCGCGTTTTCCTTGGTGGTTTTCTCATTCCATGCATATATTTTAACTTTTTTTTAAGAAAAAAGCACTTATTTTACCAAACACTACCAACTTTTACTTTCTCGGCTTCCGTGTAGAATCTACTTTTTACTTTTTCTATTACACAAAAAGCACGTATTTTACCAAACACTACCAACTTTTACTACTAATCACTTTTTCCCCAAAAGTGCTTTTATTTAAGCAGAAGTGATTGCAAACAAAGCCATAATCTAATTAAGTTCAAATTCTGCCAATTAAGGGCTCCGGATATTAGATTTTTCATAGTGAGATGTTTTGATCATGCTGTAGTGTGAGAACTCCAATTTAATTTCACATATCTTAGATACAAATAACAAATGTAGTATGATCATAATTGGATATCTAATTTGTTCTATTAGTGTTAGACCTCCTTTTCAAGAAATTACACATACAAATATAGAATTGTATACTCTTTTTAATAAGATCAATTAAGCTAAGATGAAGGATTTCAGCTAAGAAACTAGGGAGGCTACCCATTTACAAATTATACATATTAACCTTGTTAATTCTCAATAAACGTACAATTAAGTATAAACGGTTATTAAGGTATATAGACCAGCTATATAGAGAGCAAGAGTGAAATTAGGGTATATTTCTTCCAAATGCCATTATTACTTGATGTTAATAAAATAAATAGTGCATAGTAACAAACAAACAAAAAGAACATTTCCATACCTAAAAAAATATTATAATCCCTAATCGATCAACACGCTTTGAGATAACATGGGGATGTGCCCACCCCTACAATAATTAATCAATTTATTCTTAACATTTATGAGTAGCATTATTATTTTGAAGTGGATATGATTGTTTCCATATAATCCATGAAAATGGAAGAATTTTTATACCACATATACACATGTATTTTGCCCACGCAATATCCTAAAATTCATTCGTTTTTTCTTAACTACGTCTACACAACTACAACAATCATTACAACTACAACAATTTTGGGTGCTAACTTAATTTGTACAGACAATTGATGGATAAGAACAATTGATGCCCCCGAAATTTTTACTCCGTATACACTTCAGATTTGTACAGACAATTGATGGTGGATGCAGACAATTGATACACGAGCTGCCTGTGTAAAGTTTCTATACGAAATTTTTTATACACTTCACACAAATTTGCACGTAGGTGATATATATTCAAGTTTCGTGTAGAAATAGAATTTTTATTACAACTAACCTTTATTTTACACAATAACTTGACAATTTACACACAAAAATAAGATGAATGTAGTTATTCATCCTAGAATTAAGTTTCAAGTAGACACGAAAGTTTTAGAGCATACTATGCACATTGTTTCCAATAATACTTGAATTCCAGACTATTTGATAACATTCAATAAACATGACACTTATAAACAAATTTGTCCATTATACATTACTGCAACAAATTTCTTAGGCATCCTCCTGAACTATCAAAGTCATCACCACATCATAAATCGCCTACATTTTTCAAATGAAACAGGAAATTAATACTGTAGAGGTAATCTAGCGGAGAATGGCGATGAATCCGCGTTTCCGAAATTAAAACGGTAATATTCAAAATCATAGCAATGGATATGGTGATTTGTATAATCTCCATCATCAAATGTCAATTGTTACAAAATCTATGGTTGCGATTGACTCTGCCGAAATCCGCAATTTTTTTCGAACCGTTTTTGCACAACATCACCGGAGACTTCACGGGAGCTCTTAAATCGCCGGAAAACACCATGTCCAGCGGCATACCTTTCTGGTTCCACTGCCGATTAGGGCTAGGCCGGACTAGCGGACTCAAGCAAAACGTCATTCCTGAGATGCTCCGAGCTACTTTCGGTCTCCCGCCACTCCGCCGGCTAGGGGTGGGCGCTACAGTCCTCCTCCTCGGCGTTTGCTTCCACCGCTGCGGAGACTCGGAAGAGTAGCCGCTCGATCCGCCGTGACAATGTTCGTCACCAAAATCATCGGAATACCTCTCCGGGGACATTCCTCTGTTAAAATTGCGGCAGGATCTCCGCTTTCCGCCTGCCGCGGATTCGTCTAACGAAAAAGTACGGTGTTGCTTCTTCCGGAGGCCGCTGAAAATTGAGGAAATCCAGGAAGCCGAGGAGGAGTTCACGGCGCAAGGCTCGCCGTGACCGGACGCTACAGGATCCGAATCCGGCTTAGATCTAAGATTAAACAGATTATACAGCATAGAAAATCCGTAATTCCTCTTCTTCTTACTGTACTCGTCTCCCTCATCTATCTTCCCGTTCGGACCTATTTGCGGAGTGAAGTAGAATCTCTGTTCGTGCCTTGGATGGAGGTGCCAGGGGGAGGTATCCGAGTTCCGGCGAGAAATATACGGCGAGACGGATCGCGGAAAAAACAGAGGCGGCTGAATCACGACGTCGGATGTCCGGCGATCCTCCGGGGCCTGAAACTTTTGCTGCTGAATATGGCTTGACTGGGCGGCGACGAGAGTGAAAAGCTTCTCACGGAGACAGGAGGCGCAAACGCCGTCGGCGCTGCTGAGATCGGAAAAGTGCTTCTTACACCTCATCGGTGATCGATTGCTGCTCCTTGTGTACGGCTAGAAGGTGGTTGGATGGGGGTTGGGGAGGAGAAACGACATTTTTGGAAGTGATAGGTTTAGAGTTGAGCGTGCGGGAATTGCCGTCTTGTTCTGCTTTCTCGGTGTGTCAGAGAGATTGAGGAAGCAGACAGCGCAGCAGAGCTCAGTGGTGTGGGCTTTTATCAGTTAGTTTTGACGAGGGAGGGGATATGGGGTACGGGGATATATATGAAGTATTCCGTATATTTTAGGATAGATTTATGGCAAATTCTGTAACAGAATACGATACACTACGGATCAATTGATATACGGAGTATTCCCCTTATACATAAACTAGTTCTATAACGCGATGCGCGAAAAATGGCCAATGTTATTTTGACAAGGTTAACATAATGTGAATATTAATGATTAATATATTTAACTTATGTGAACTTGCACACAAGATTAGCTTTATGCATATTTCCCACATAACAGATGATACAAAAAGGGGCGTGACACATCTATGTTCCCGTAAGCCTGACAAGGATCGTTCCGAAATGCCCTATGAGAATGTAATATCAATAATGTGGCAATAAACAATCTAAGAAAGAGTGGGCAGGATGATTAGGTTTATAAGGCCTAGCTAAAACATGTATGCCATTTTGATATTTGAATCCAATAGCACCAAACATGTGGTAATAAGAGGCAAGTGCAATAATGAATGTGAATTATACATAGTGTCATGGGTAAAATTAATAATATCTCTGATTCAATAAGTTAACAATCCTCTTTGATAAGCACATGAAATAAAATATTGCAATGGCCGGCTAGATATTACTTGGGGTCGAGTAGTAGGGGGTGATGGGGGGTGATGATCAACATCTTCCGTTCATAGTAATCTCATATTTGCACACAATTACTTGTACAAATAATCATCTATTATGCCACTATAATAAGAGAAATTAATACATATTAAAGTACGATATCGGCAGTGGAGGAGCTAAGGGGCATGGGGAGCAACCACCCCCGCTTCGGCCAAAAAATATTATTACTACTACTTACTCCCTCTGTAACAAAAAAAACTTCTCACTTTCCTTTTTTGTTCGTAACGAAAAAAATCTTCTCATCATGACCTCAATAATTTTGAAAATAATACACTATTACAACTTCTTTTTTTGGCCGGACTTGTCCTTCATTCCATCACATTATTCCGCTATCTTCCCATCCTACCCTCAAAAGTTATATAACCTCTTTCACTATTCTTAATCTATCTACTTTTGAAATGTTAAGGTTTTTAAATATATATAAAAAATAAGCAGTAAAAATAAGATGAATAATTAAATTAGACATGACAAATTAGAATAATTATAATAGAATAATGATTTTCGAAATTTTTGCATAAGGTAAAATACATGATGAGAAACTCAATTAGAACATTAAACGGAAATCAAATAAATCTTAGTGCATAGAATCATTAAAATGTGAAGGCATCATGTTGGAAACTCAAAAGTTGGAAACCGTTGGAGTTAACGGAGTTAAGGTGGAGATTTAGATTTAATGATGAATGGTACAATGACTAAAACAAATTGTACAAGTGTAAATTGCTTTAGTGTTACACCAACATTTTTATCATTCCTAAAATGTCCTAACCATCATTGGTGCTTATAAGTTTTTAGATTAGATTAAGATAATTCATCTTCGGAGGGCGGTAATTCAAACAAAATATTTTCGGGGAGAGTGAGAATTATTTTTAATGTATATATATATATATATATATACATTAAAAAAAATGGTTGGGGGGCGGTAGCCCCCTGGGTCTCTACTACAGTCGGCCCTGGTCTTATGTGATGGAGAGTTGCAAATGAGAGAGAATTGTGTCAAAATTGTTGTGAACCACAAATTCTTTGTCTTAAAGAAAAAAAGAGATAATTTTGGAACAGATGAAAAAGAAGAGTTTGAAGATAATATAGTGACACGAAGAGTATTTTTTAGGAATATACAAAAGGACAAAAAGTTTTGTATCGTCCCTCGAATCAGACTTAGAATCTATCACCTCAATAGAAATAATAAGATTTGTTGATCTTGTAATGTACTTAACTGAGCCTATGACATACAAACCAAACATTTCATCATTTGTCTTAAGTTCTAGAGTTTTTTTTGCTAGGAGATAAAAACACAATCAAAACAGCATGAAGTTCGAAGTAAAAACACAAACAAAATAAAACGTACCCCTCTCCGTCTCGTATTTAAGTTTCCACTTTTTCTTTCGGGATGTCCCATATTTAAGTTCACACTCACATTTTAGGAAAGTTTATTAAGGTAAAAGACACAAATATTCTCAACCCATTTACCCTCATTTACTCTATTCAACTACCCACCACCTCGATTAATCCATGCTACCATAGCCCGATTTACTTTCTTCGACCCACCACCCTACTTTATTCCCTTCGTCTACACACCGCCCCATTTATTCCCTTCGTTCTACCCATCACCCTACTTACTGTCCTTCAAGCTTCTATTTTCTGTCAGTCCGCATCTCCTTTCTCCGGCGTACCCCCTCGCGATTATCTCCTCTCGTTGTCCTCCTTTGTTGCCCCCTTCTCCACAATTATCTTCATCTTTTTCACACCACAAAAAATGAATGGACATCTCTCTAAATGAAATTGTTCTGTGGCCGGTCCGATTGCCGATAACGAGGTTGGTAGACTTACCAAGCGCCTTTGCAACTCAGAACCCGACTCAAATATGAAAGATTTGAAGTCCTTTGAAACCTCAGATGTGTACAATCAGCCATGTTTGAATCCACCTCTTTCTTTTGGAGCTGAATCTTTATCCTTTCTAGATAGTGACCATGCACACCTCGTACAGCCTTATTTACCAATCATTGTTCGCTTTGGTCTATAAGATCGGACACAGACACGAGATGGCAGTTGAGGAAGAAGTATGGTTCGAATTTGGTGAGTGATACATATGAAGGACTTGATGGGTTGGAGGAAGAATGCGAAGAGGTGACATCAGAAGCCATTGAGAGAAATGGAGGGTCAAATTATGGCTATGGTCAGAGGGGAAAAAGGAGTTTGATTTGCACACTAAGGGCAGAATTTGAGGTTCACGATTCTATGGGACAATACTCTCCCTTTCTCCTTATGTAATTGTGTTGCATGTGTTGATGTGTGTCCTCTATGCATCTTTCTGTCCCCTAGGTTGTAATGTGAATACTGGTGATGATTATGGGCTTTGTTTAACAGTTTGTGAATTTCTGTGTGGTGATATTGTGAACTTGTGTGTAGTATGCCGTAGTTGTGAATTTGTGTGCTTGTGCAATCCATTAAATAAGTGCAGGAGGCCAAGTTTTGTAAAAAGAGATGATACACAATTCATTACACTTTGCAAAAAATGTGTCGCATAGTTCATTGTTCAATTGTGCTAACACTAATGCGTGTAAACTTGCAATGGTAAGTACACTAAGCTATTGTGCTTTAATTACATGCAAGGGAAGTACATACAAAAATAGTACGCTTACATATGAACAAAAAATGTGTACTAACAAAAGTTTGTTGAACATTAATCCTCATGTATGACAGTTCACAATTTAAGATAATGATAATCTTCATCTGTGAACTGAGTCCCTGCATTTGCACCTAATGTGTTTGTTGCTAGTTGTCCATCCAAGTGTATCTTTGCTACCTCATACATTTATTGATTGACGTGGATATCCTTTGGTAATAAACCTTGTCTTCTCAACTTGTCTTTTCCAACATGTCTGAGTTTAAAGTTATTTTCAACATTATGATTGAGAATCTCTTCCATTACATACTGATAGCTTAAGAAGACCTTATTTAGGGCCTTAGTTGTTAACTCATCATATGTTGTTTGTACTGATTCAATTAAATCCTTGATGGGTTTTGGGGCCTTTTGATTTTTTAAAGAGTCAATAACCCTAAAAAACCAATTCCTGCACATTCAGATCAAAGTTGTTTGGTGGCTGACAACGAAGTTAGATTTTCCATCCATCTTCTGTCCCACTCTTGACAAAGTCATCATCATTCACATCTATATGTGGTCTGGCATTGTCCTGTTGCATGATAACATGTTTGTTTTCAGCATCTGGTCACTTTTGTTTGATAGCTAGTAGGATTTTGTTTAAATTCATGTCTTCGATGATGGTCTGGTCACACTTATAGTGGCCTTAGTCTCTAAGGTCGTGATCGTCCTGTTTTTGCTTCCCCTCTTTGTTGTGTCGTCATAGGTGACGGGAAAAAATACCAATTTCATCATCCCATATTATCTCCCTTGTAGTTCCCAACCTAGGCCTACCTACTATAGCAATGAACATTATTTTTGGTATGATTATTTTTTGGACTGGCCAGTTCTGTGTGGGTTGACCGGTTTGAACTTGCAAGTATACAAGTGCCGATATAGTAATAAAATACCGGTAAATACCGGGTCGATCCACAGGTAAATGGTTGTTATTATAAAGTCGAATATTGAATGCAAGGAATGTAAATGATATATTTTTTTTTTTTCAGGAAATTTGCTCTTTGAGATTGGTTTAAACAAGAATGAGAATTACTAAGGCAATCGGGATTCACCTAAATGCTTTAATAGTTATTTAATAATAGTTCTTCCCCAATAATTATGAATACGATGTCGCTAATATATTCTCAACTCTGGTTAAGGCAGCGAGAGCGTGGTTTTCGTTACGTGTAAGTCCCGTTACGGCTTACATTCATCTACCGAAAACCCCGTTGAATATCAAGACATCACACCCGTATCATATAAGACCGGATATATTTCTATTCTCGGTACTATATATGTTTATCCTTTAATGTTCATAGTTTAGACTTCAACGTTAATTGCAAGCATAAACTAAATTTAACATACTTCTATGTTGTACACCATAGTCATAAACAATCGAAATATAAAGGATAAATAATAATTTATTGGTTCAGAACTTTTATCAAACACCTAGTATGCATAGAGGTTCATCCCTAGCCTTAGCTAAGAAATTAGCCTCTAATGTTCATATTAATCACAATACAATATTGAAATGTAATGGAACATGAAATTACAAAGGAAATAATACCTAAACACCAATGATTTCGGAGGTTGAAGTTTCCTCCTCAAGAACTTGAAGAAAAATAGCAAGAACAAAATATAAAAGCTAGGAATTAATCTATGGAATGGAATGTTATTGCTTGATGAATTAAGGGCTTTATATAGGCTAAAGAAAGGCATCTTT